CTATCAAAGACATTTAGAGAAGTATAGGGTGTTCGAATTCCTTGCTGGCCTTAACCCTGAGTATGATATTGCACGACAACATCTTCTTTCTAGGGACAGTGTCACTCTCTCCCAAGCATATGCCTTTGTGTCAGGAGAGGAGTGCAAGAGGGATGTAATGATGAAAARTTTCAGTTCTGATCAGTCTGCTATGGTAAGTGTTGTGAAATCTAAACTGAATGGCAATGAAAACAAAAAGGAAGACAAAAGGGACTTGGTCTGTGACTACTGTAAGAAGCCTAAGCATACAAGAGACACTTGTTGGAAGCTTCACCCACATCTTGTGCTGACCAGATTGAAGAATAAGAAAGGAAATGCGCACATGACAGTTACCGGTGATACTCCGCCCCCCCTACTACAGCTGCTTTGGAGTCTGTTGCAGCTACTGCAGTAAGGGCCGAGCTTGAGAGGTTTGGGTTACTTCTGAATCAGAGGGATACAACTAGTTCCAGTTCAGCCGTAAGCGGACAACAAGGTATAGGTAGCACAAGTGGAGCTCACTCTACCTCATTTGCCCACACAGGTAGTTCACATGTCACTACAAACTATGTTTCTACTTCAGGTAAGGAGAGATCTCCTTGGATTATAGACTTTGGAGCCTCAGAGCATATGACCCATTGCTCCACTATTTTCTCTTCTTATCAGCTCTATTCTGGCAGAGATAGGGTCTCCACAGGTGATGGATCCCATGTTCCTATTGCTAGGAAGGGATCTGTCAAGATCAATGATTCTATTTGCTTACCTTCTGTCCTCCATGTTCCTAGATTGAGCACTAATTTGTTATCTGTTAGTAGTTTGACTAAGAATCTGAACTGCTCAGTAATTTTTTCTCCTGGACGTTGTATTTTGCAGGATCTGAATTCAAAGAGGACGATTGGGAGTGGTCATGAAGTGAATGGAATCTACCTCCTGGATGCTCTCCCTCTTCACCAAAGTCATCATGTTTGCAGAGATAGTGAGTCAAAATCTGTGGGTCAGATTATACTTTGGCACAACCGTCTGAGTCATTTATCCTTTTCTTCTTTGAGTTGTTTGTTTCCAAAA